TGACTAGAATTGAAAAATAGAACAAAATTGTGCATAAGATTATAATTATATCATCCAATGAAAATACCGTTTCATAACAGGTTGCTCAAATGTTTGTGGTGAATAATCACCACCAAAACATTGTGAACGTAATTCTTCATCATCGTCCATCTTACATTCACTAACTTCAACGTCATCAAATTTATACCAATGTGATTGATCCGGATTAATATCATCTCTAAAAAAATTAAAATAAAAGAAAATAATGATTCAACTACTTTTTGCCAGAAGCAACTAATCAACCAATATTTTGTTAATCTTAAATAGTAGCCCTCAGAAGAAAAATTTTGCGCCTACATTTTAGTTATAGAGACATGAAAGTGTCAATGTATAAAAGTGGTTCTTGTTCTTTTCTACATACTTGTTTTGAATAAACGAATAATAATGCCCACCATTGGCTTGACCACTATGAACAATGGTACCCACAAGTTTATAATATGTTCCTCCAGAATTAATAGAACCATTTTCATCTCGAACAATCGAATAATCGTCGGTTTCGGTAATACCTGTAAATAAATCAACATCGTTTTTCAAAAGTCATTTAATTATAGTATAACTGTTGCTTACCTTCAGCTTTGGCTAAACCTTGCACCGTATAAGGCTCCATATTTAATTCTCTTGGAAATTCAAAATAATCATTAAATTTAATTGGTGTTTCACGTTCCCAATCATAATCAAATCGTTTCAGTTGAATGGCAAGAATTGGTGGTAATTTTTTGAAACAGGTCCGTTTGACAGTATCAACCTATACAAAACAAAATAAGTTCTAATAGTAACGTTACTACAACTGATATAAACAAACTTACTTTTTTATTACATTTTTCACAAAAATAGGCGTTTGGACCGTCAAGAAGTTCTCCAATAACATATTGTTCGAGTGATTCTTTCAAATTTTGACTATGACGAATATCAACACTCACTAACGTAAAATCTTCTTCGCTAGAATATCTAAAATAAGAAAACAACAGAACTATTGTTGTTCTATCGATCATTAAAAAATATTAACCTACCTGTGCGGGCAATCTTTACATATTTTTTGATCGGCAAATGTTCCACCTAATACTTTCGAACATATTTGTGGTAAATTGAGTGATTTGAGTGCTTCATCAATACTATCAACAATTGTATTTAGAAATTCAACAGCATCGTGTTGTTCACGTAAATTCACTGGTTCACCAAAAAATCTTAATTAATAATTAACAATAATAATCTTATTTTATTGTAAAACTTTTATCTTACTTAAATATTTTCCAAAAACTTCTTGGTATATAAAATTGTAATTTTGATTCTAAACAATGTCCAAATATTCGCTGTATATGTTTTAATATACAAATATTATAATCGGTTCGATCAACATTTTTTGATGATGTAGACGTTTTTTGTCCACCACTTTCATTTCCATTATTCTCATTCGATTCTTGTTGATCATTTTGTTGATTATTATTTAAACTCATATTACTTGGTGAATTTTTTGTTGTAGTCGTCGAAACAAGAAAAGATTTTGAATCCATAAATGAGTCAGACTAGAAAAAAGTAAGCAATTACATTCAATAAGAAGAAATCAGCTCGAAAAACAGAAAATATATACCAAATCACGTTTTTCATCATCATCTGTTTCATCATCGTGATGACTGGGAATTTTTATCGATAATAATGCAGATCTTAATGGTTTGATCATAAATAACTAAAACAAACAAGTAGACAACAGTATGCATTTTTAAACATTCTATGTAGTATTCCCGTTACCTGTTGTAATACTGAATTCATATAACATGTGGCACCACCATTTTTCAAACCAACATAACCACGATTTGGACGCGGACCAACAGGAGGCGAAAAATCCCATTCAGATAATGTTGAATCAGGAACTAAATAAAACAAAAGAAATATGTGTAGCAAGGATGACAGAACTGCTTTAAAAAGTATACAAATATTCGTAAACTTCAATAGTTTGAAAGAGATACGCATTATAATAAACAAATTAACAAAATTACCTGTATAAAATAAATCTGTTATATACTCATCAATTAATTTTAAATTATCAATACAATTTGTTCCCAATACGACAAGAAGATCGAATGCTGCTTGTGATGTCTGTGGTGTTTGACATATAGCAACAGGTGGTTCTTTCAATAAATCCATTTCATCATCATTACTATTTTCATGAAGTACATTCTGTTGTGATTGTCTCTGCTGAAGGCGTTTTCGTCGAAAATGACATAATAATGTTGATGCAGGAAATAAAAATTGTTCAATTAGTTCTTCTATAAGTGATTGTGTAATACCGTAATAACTCTTTCTTTCACTATTCTGAAAAGCTAATAATTCTTTTGCTACATTCAAATGTCCTTTAAGTAACTGATCATTCATTAGTGTTAATTGTCTCTGCGATTTTATTGTTACATTCTTTAACCAATCTATTTCATCATTCAATTGTTTATCGATATCGGGCGGTATTACTTGATTTGCTAATGCAAATGATAATAAACGGCATAACAATAGAAAATATTCATTCGACTGTTGAGAATATATTTGAAGATCGTCCCGAAACTTGGATGTCTTATCTAATAGCTTAAATTGAATATGTATAATATACTGAAGAACTTTCTCACCCGTACTAGCACGCGAAGCCAAGAGAAAAAATTGTTCATAAGCTGTATGACGAATCAATTGATGACGACAGTATAATATCAAATCGATGAGAAAATTTTCGAAAAATGGTTCGTGGATCAGTTTTTCAATCGATGTATGAACGAGAACAATTGATAAAGATAATATTTCGAGAGCTTCACGGCACACTAATATTTGACTTTCATCATCTTCTTCATCATCCTCTTCATCATCAACAATATTTTCATCCGTTCTCAAATTGACAGCTACCTATAAAATGAAATGAAAATCAGATAAAAGTAATGAAGAAAAAGACCTAGTTTACATAGTAAAAACTCAATTCTCTTGCAATACTTGAAAAAATTAAATGAACGTATTTTCAGAGCTAAATGATTAAACCTGTTCGTAACAAAATAATATCTCCAACTAACTCTGTACATTAAAAGAAATTGATAACTCATTTCTATTACGCTTGAAATACTATGCTTATCCAGACAAAACGTGCGTGATAGCAAGATTTAACTTTCAAATATACTACATACATGATCTTGTTTAAAATGTTTATGTATCGTATCAAAATCCGATGTTAAATATGTTTCTAATGTGGCTGTCATCGTTTTTCGATTTTTTCCACTATTATCAGCAGCTAAGCACCAAATTAAACGAATTAATGCCAGTAAATGTGTATATTGTAAAAATGACGATTTGGGTATTGGATACTCGCTTTTGTTTAATACTAAACAACTGGCTATTTTTTGTTCTAACGATAATGGTACATGCTGTTGTAATTGTTCGCCAGCATTATTAACCGTAATCAATGCTAAGGTTGGTACAGTTTGTAACATTGATTCTAATATAAGAATATAATCTTGGATATTAGATAATTTACACTGATAATAGCCAAGTATGGTCAATAAACGTTTACATATGTACACTACAACTAAATAAATAGATTTAAGCGATGAACTATCAATGGAAGAATGACGAAAGGAACTTGTAACAGTAATGGATGATCGACTCGTAGTGGGAGAAATGGTAGGTAATGGTTGACCAACTAAAATATTTAGCAAACAAGTCAAACCACCACCATATAAAAATCGGACGTGTAATGCTTCAACACTGGTCATCTGATTAGGATTTGCCGCAATATGATGACATGCGGTTGCCGGCATTAGACCAATATGCGTCGCTTTCAAATTATATAACAACTGAGATGTTGTGGTTGTATGAAAATAAAACATTTCTAATCTCTTCAATATATCATCTGAAGCGATTTGTTCACCACTTGATGATTGATGAATATAATTATTTAGTTGTAGCGTAATCGTTTTGTCTAAAGGGATTATGTCTAATATTTGTCGTGCTGTATCACGTAAACGATTATTTTGTTCTATACAACCAAGATCAGCCAGATCAATTAAAAATTTACAATAAGAATGTTTCTGAGAAAATATCTAAAATATACGAATTTAAAATATACTTATTGTTAAGGATGTTTAAGAAAAGTACTAACGCACCACAGATGGTAATGTTGACTCAACTGATAGATCAGGATTTTCAAGAACTCGACTATGATGAGAGGATGATGAATTGTTATTGTTATCATTTGATTCGGAGCTACTGCTTTCACCACTTGAACCCGCTTGGCTTTGATGTTGAACCCATCGAGCTATTATTGTCTATTTAATAAAAATAACCCATAAAATCAGTCAAAAACCACCATTAACAACTTACTAGACGATCACGAGTTTCTGTTTGTGCTAGTGTTTTATTATCGTCACACGGATGAATCAATTCATTATTACGATGTAATTCAATAATACCATAAGTTGTTTTAAACCTAAAAATGAACAACATATGAGTATGGTTAAAAATGTGTTAACGATAATCGTAAAAATGTTATCTAGTAACAAGAAGTTATCAGAAAAACTTTCGATGCGACTATTTCAGTTGACAGCTTTAGCTAATAAGTCTACAATCAGCTGGTTATTCAAAAATGTTTGAAGACAATGAAAAAATTATGAGTCACAAGAACCCAAAGTCAATAGCGGACTATGAAATACTGTTGCAAATGCGAATACCTCGAATATGAGGAAAAAAAATTAGAGCAACACGACTTGTAACAAAAGAAAATGAGCAAAAAAAGTTTGAGAAAATTTATTTTGAGCAAAAAGTTAGTTAAGCAACAGGAGTTTGAGCAAAATTACTTTAGGAAAAAACCGATGAGCAAAAAAAACTGAATAACAGATTATATGTGTATCATTTTATTTTTTCTATTTTTCTCTTTTGTTCTTCCAATGTACTTTTCATTTTTGCTCATATTTTTTCGTAAAATAAAAATTTCCTGAAAGCAATTTTGTTCATTTTCTAGTTGCTCATCTTCCATTTGCTCAAAGTCCTTTTGCTTAACTAATTTTTTGCTCATTCTCTTTTGCTAAAAATTGATTTGCTCAAATTATTTTTGCTCATAGTCGAGGTTACCGTAAATGTGGGACATGATTTCATATATGACAGTAGTAAAAATTGAAACGAATTCTTTATTTTAAAAAATGCGAACATCTAGTAACCTCAGACTCATGTCTGATGGGTTTCATAATTTTTCCTTAACTTCATAACAAAAATCAAGATTTTACTCTGGAGGTAAACAAAAGTGATCATAATCTAACTAACCGGTGGTATATTGAACGTCGAATTTGTCCCCATGTCTCGTTTGAATGATGTAGATGCTCGAACTCATCTGCTGGACGATTTTGACTCTGGTTCACACGAACAATGATGGTTACTTGTCGTCCACGAAACGCCCTAAATGAAAGGCATTAAGTACAGATCGTTCACACATACGCACAAGACGCTTGTTTACTCACCTCGACATTGGCAACACAAGACGTTCTTTATGATAGGAGTTATCACATTCTAACATATATTCTCTCAGAACAATTAGAATTCGTATGAGACTATTAATTTTATGATTAAACACATGTTTTGAGTCGTGTTCTTTATTCATCGCTTTAATACTGTCATACAATGTACGTAAACGTTCAAAACACTCAGATATAAATGTTTCATGGATACGTTTATGTTCTTTTTTTAGTTGCGGACTAATGTTTGTATAAATTTCTTTAATTAAAGTTATTCCACGTTCAGCTACTTCATCTGACCCATTCAATATCAACTAAAGAACGATATAAATATAAATCATATTTTAAAACTCTTTCATTTTCTACACTTACCTTCCACAAATATTCAATACCCACTAAATCTTCATCATTTTGTAAACGAATTGAACGTCGTTTTAATACAAGTTTTCTCAATTGAGCATTGACAGTTTTAAAAAACCGATCGAAACAACTAAGAAATCAGACATAGATATATGAATAAAATAGATGATAATCAAGATAAAAACAATTTACCTCATTCCAAGTTCAGTTAATAAATTTGGTTCAAGTTTCATCACATGATTTTCAAAAAAGTCTTGATTTGCTTTTGGTTCAATGTCCGAATCCTCGCTCACCAACTATAAAACATAAATATAGTTTCGATATTAATAAACAACGTGCAATATAGAGAAAACAAGAATTTTTTATTTACTTCTGCAAACCAACGAAAACATAATTCTCGATCATTTGGATAAACCGCTTCTTCAGCAAGACATGTCCAAATTGACTTTGAATAATCAGCCACCAAATAAAGATGACCTTCTTTCAAAATGAACCTAAATGAAAATATCTCTCATTCAATCAAATTCATCTACACACTCAAAATACGAACTTCAAAAAGCTAAGACGTTCTTGAATTTGTTGAATATGATTAAATCTGTTATCAGGATAGTAGTCTTCCGGCGATGTTGCTTTTGGACCTAATAGAAGGAGAAAACAATTAACATTTAATCGAATTAAAGATATATGATCTATCTTAGTTAAGCTGTAATGTACGTCATTCTTCATACTTTCTTTATAGATCTTTGCATTTTTCATATATTGACACAGATTTTTTGTAACAACTTCAATTAATTGATGGTTCTTTTCCAATGCTACAATAACATGTTGGCGGCTATGTGGACCGGATACCATTCGTGGAATATTTTGTGAAAACGCATACTATAAGAGAAATTAAACGTACACCAAATAAAAAATCTTTATTCAATATCAATTCTTAGTTACTATTACCTCATGAAATTGCATACAAATTTCACGAATCTGACGTAATGAAATGATCACATGACCATGATCATGTTTAACTTCATCCATAAATTTTTCTATCCAGGATAATTTTGTTTTCTCTTTTTCCTGAAAAAACAATAAATTTGTTTTCACTTTCTGCACTGGATAAATACTGAGAGAATAGTATTACTTGTAAACAGCTGTAGTCAAGAATTTTTAAATGTGCATTTAATGCTTGATCAACAATCTCATTTGGTAAACGGTCGTCGTGTGCAATTGTCCACAATAGTTCCAGTACCTAGAGAAACAAAGTTATAAAAAAATTGCCAACATGCCTGTTACACCTACTTTATTAGCCATCATGCCTTCTTTGTCGTCTTCGGCTAATCGTCGAATTAATTCAAGTAATTTTTCACGTTGCTTTTTACTTGCACGAGTCCAGCTCCTCTATTTACGTAACAAAATACATTAAATTTAACGATATACGTCGGTTTTTTTCAACATACTCTGAAACATTCAAATAAATGATCCAGTTGTTCTGGTGAAAAATCCCATGCTAATTTTGCTAATAAATCATGTACATTTTTTTCAATCGCTTCATGTTTTCCACAAGATGAATTCCATATTTTATCTAAATCATCTTTCGTTAATGCTTGTTCTTTAATTATAAAACGTAAAATTTTCTCTAATTTTTCAACATATTGTGGTTGATGTAAACAATCACGTAAAACAATATCTAATATTTCATTATTTTGAATCCATTGCTGAAAAGGAAAGAAGCAATCATAAGATATCTACTAATTTGAGACTAAAAGATCCCTTTCAATCACAACATGTTCGATATTACGTACGATTAATTTATCAGCTGTTAAAGTTTCATAATCGTCTGATCGTAATGACTGTGTACGTTGATTGATATTTAAACTCATTATTAATTTATTTACTTCATTTAAAGCATTCATTTTACCACTAAATGAATTTGTTTTTAAAATTCTATAAAAAGAAAAGAGAAAATAGTCAAAGTCAAAATAAAACTTTATCTATATATTTTACAAACCGTAGTATCATTTTTAATCGAAGTGCATCTAAACTTCGACAAGATTTATCATTATCTGGTATACGCGATGCTAATGAACGCAACCATTTGATGACCGTTGATAATGTGTCACTTTTTGGCTCAGTTTTCGTTTCAAATTTCAGATCGCTTTCGGATAATTGATCCAAAAAGTCTGGAACAATACTCTGAAAGTGAAATCTTCATATCAAGCTTACTTCGAAGATATGAAAAAAAATTTTTTTTGTTTTAGAACAGATAAAATCGTCTCTTTTTAAAATAAAATAGATTAAATCTTCAGATTAACCTACTACATTTTTTGCGTACAAAAATGCTATAGATCTCATTTTAACTTTTCAAATTTCGGTATTTTTTCTGAAGTTGACTATCGAAAAAAACTAATTACTTACGATAATGGGAAAAAAATATTTTTTAACTGTATTCGGTGTTAAATAATCATGACAAAGTCCCCAGGGTTTGAGTAATAAGACGACAATGGATATAGTTAATTTTGGATGCAACTCAGTTGATATAAAACGGGAATGAACTTTTTCGAAGCCGCCAAGGACACCGAAACGGTTTATAAAATCAACAAGCCAACCCTGCGTGAAATTCATGAACGATAAAGCAATATTATTAAATTAAACATATGTTTCTAAGTGTGATTACCCTTTGTGTTCCACGGTAATCACTGGAAGCAAATGGCTCAATATTGTCTGGCAATTGATAATCGCTCTGACGACTAAGGTTTGACTGGTGATATCTTGAATATGTGAAGAAAAAACATTGCTTAGTAAGCAGTTGTCCTTAGCTTCATTCATATTTCCTAACCGACAAGTTGGGTTCATTAACATTCCGAGAACATCAAGTAGTGGTAAACAATCATCTTCGAGCTTTAATACACATAAATGAATGAATAACATAGAATTTTGATAAATATGTTTCTAAATGACAGAAGCAGTATTGTTATCATTAGACAAACAGATCAGTACAGAAATCTACTTACGAATATTTCTAATTTCCACATCTGAACAGCTTCATCGCACAAAATTTTTGTAAATGAGTTAACTAAACTATCACGTATAAATCGCTGACAAGGTTCACTTTTTATATCCAACTCTGTAATGAAATGAAGAGATATATTCAGCTTCTTTTTGCTGTATAGCTACAACGAAAAAACTCACTGTGTTTTGCTAATTTAATCGCTGCTCGCAAACATTTGATCAATTCACCATCAGACAAAACGGGCACAACCCATCGTGTCTGATTCAATTGTTCTTCTAATTTAATTAAGTCGTCCAGTGGAAACTTGGGATCACCATTTTCATCACAGACTTCAAAAAAGTCAAAAAAAAGAACACAATATGAGTAAAATAAGCAATAGGAAATTTAAAAAAAATAAAAAGGAAAATTTGACTTTCTCTTTTATTTTTCTTACTATCTGCGTCATCTTCTAGTTGTGCTTGTAGATTATATTCTTGATTTTCTTGCTCATCATTTTCATTAATAGGTGATCGATGTGGTATATTATAATGAGCATGATAAGATTCACCAGTCATGTTATGAGTAGAGGATGTTGCATGATAGTCAGGCGGAGGATAATTTGTATCTGAATGTAAACGATTCGAAGAAGAGTGTGATAGTGATATTGATGTGTTACTCAGATTCAAATTTGTAATACTGTTTGGATTCACCGGCGACGATTGCATATTATCGTTGTCCTCGTCAAAGTTATCACGATTTGAATTAGGCGATGTAGCTATAGGCGAATGACGTGCATTGTTATTAGACATTGTATTTACACTCGTATGCGCGTCAATTGAGGATGAAGAACGTTCTTCAATGTATTGTTGTTGTTGAGAATGAGGTGTTGAAGATGTTGGTGTCGATGTTTGGTTATTTCTTACAGTTTCTAACGAAAGAGTAGGAGAATAATTCTGTTTTGCAGCCATGAAGATTATTTACAAAAATATATTCACGAGAACGCTTTGAAAATGACCGAATTGAACAAGACACATAGATTAGACATAGATAAGAAGGATTGATATTATTTTAAATACTAGTCTAAAAGAACGTTTGGTTTTTTGCTAAGTTAGACTCTTATCTTCAGCTGTTCACCTTATTTTACTCAAGATATTACAAAAACGCCAAGTTATAAAAAAGAAATAGGAAGATTTTTATTCGCGTCATGCGGAAACGTGTCTCTTCGAACCTTCAGTCATTTACTAAAATTCATGTCTTTTAACCAGCGTGAATATGACTGTTATGGTAAAAATTCGTTGCCTTTTCTATTAGTTCGTTCTTTTTTTCTTTTTTTGTTTTTCAGTTTTAGATTTTAAGATTTCGTTTGTCTATCCTTCTTTAGTGCAGCTCAACCCCGCCACGATGACTCCCGCAAGTTTTTGTATCTATCATCCAGCATCCACTCTAACGCATGCGCGCATGGAACGAACAGGAATGACTCACTATGACTGTTGACCAATGAATAAATTTGTAGTACGCACTTATGCAGAGTAGTTTTTAATGAAGAAAGAGTAACGAACAATCCGAGGTGCTGAACACATTATTCTTAGAGAAAGCTCACGTTTGAAATCAGTACTGATGTTTTTACTTTCCAATATGGAATGCGCTTAGGGAAGAAATGGCTCCTTGACTACAAAAATAGATCATCCATTTAATGATCGATTCTTTTAACTTTCTTCTTGATGTCTCGTTTTCTTGTCGTCTATGCGCTAAAAATTTTCACTTAATTTCTGTTTCTTAAACAAATAAGAAAATGACCTAGTAAAACGAACCTGTAGATTTCTACATTATGCAGAAAGATAGATTTTGCATTAGATCTGCATATATTTTGTTCTCTGAATGCATAATACCGTACTATGCATTCAGAGACCATTAGGCTAATAAATATAGAGAAGCTTTGTACAAGATTTGTTCAACAGAATGTGCAAGATGTACACAGAGCTATTGCAGATTGTTACAGAATATCGACCGATTCTCAAATTTTTGCAGATTTAATGCAGAATGCGGTCTCAACGAAGATATATCTGCTAAACATCTATCGAGAAATATTTGTGAACGTAAAATTATCCTCAAAAATTTGTCACCCTACAACTTATCGACCTGTTAATATTCTGTGATAATCTGCAATAGATGTTGCACAGATTCTGCTGGAACTGTACTATGCAATTTGTCTGCATTTCAGAGCCAGAAACGAATCAGAAAATTCTGATTCGATTCGATTGAGTTCAATGCAAATTAAAACTTTCTTCTCTTTTGTTTCCAAGCGTTTGTTTAAAGTATACTGCCTCGAGATGGAACACTTGTGTAGAACATATCATTTATGACTAGAACTTTGAAAGAAATAAAATAAACAAGGAGAAGAATATAAATAAGAAATGTCTTGTTGGCATCATTAGTCTTTCCATTTATTATTTTCAACCGAACGTAAAAATAATATGTTGTTGATACTCGATGGATCGACCCTGATTGAACGACCCTGGTTAACAAATTGGCCAGCGGCGCTGAATTCTCATTCAATCGCAACTGAGCTACAAGGAATTGAGAAGATCTCAACATTAATGATTAAAAATTAAGCGAATGTCGGTTGTGTGCTACATCCATTCTGGTGCTGTTAAAAATTCTACCTTTGAAAATGAATTTGATTAGATATCTTAGTAACTCGGTAAAAGGTATTATATGTTCCACTTTCTAACGCGATTATATGTTTCTGAGCGTTATAACAGAAAAAAAGGATTTTATTACTTGGTAGTTTTGTTATTTTATACGATGTCATTGCAGCTTAGCTTGACCAAAACGTTTTAACTGAGTGGCTGATTAGTCTTTCAAAAATCAAATTCTGTTCGGTTCGACAAGCAGCCGAATCGAACCGAATGGAATGTTGAATCATTCGATTCGTTTCGGGCTCTGCTACATTCTGCAATGAATCTGCAAGCTTCACTGAACGAATCTGCAAGCTTCATCTGAACGAATCTGCAAGTGTTTGCTGATCTGATTCAAATTTTATGCAAATTTTTCTTGGCAAAAGTTTTACTAGAGCAGAAATGCAGAATCTATCCGTGTGCGCGTATGGGCATACATGGAGAATTTTTCGAAGCTGTGAAAACTTTTGAAAATTTTTCCAACGGAAATGTGGAATTCTTCCACACAGAAAGATTTAAGAAAGGCGACTATGATGTTTTGACCACAAAACGGGATATATGTAGGTATGTAGAGGAAGACTTCCTCTATCTAATGGTGCATATATTATCAAATTCTGTTGCGTACCGTGAGAGAAAATTAACGGTAACCCCTCTTTTTTTAGACTTTTTTAAACATATTTTTTATTTTTGAGTTTAACTATTGTGCATTATAGAGTAACGTGTCCTCTACAAAAGGAGACCACTTCCAACTCTCCCAAGCCTTTCGTTGAGGAGATACGAATTTTTTAAAGTTTGTTACTTTACTCTGAAAAAACCTTAGTTTTTTACTTTCGAAACATTTTTCTCGTTCGTTCAGTACTTGATAAACTTTTGAAACAGTCAATCTGGTAGAGTAATGA